AAGAGAAAGGATATGGTTGGTGTTTGATGGTGGAAACAACAGATAAAACGAGCTAAGGTTGGCTCGGGAAACATGCAGAAATAGGCGAAACTCTGCCGAAATTTAGTTTGAGTAATTTGAACTAAAACTGGATTTCAAGAGAAATATGAGATTAAAGTGTGAAAAGAAAGGTGTTTCGATAATCGGTGATGGTTAGAAACCGAACACAACGAGAATTCACAGTTTTGGACTGAAATTTAAAATTAGGCCCATGATTGAGTAATTTGCACGGTTTTAGTGCAAATCCTTGAGATAGGAAATAGTTTGAGGTTGAATACCAAACATAAGAATTGTAGACCTTTCTGACGTAAATTTTAATGTAATTATTGATCTTAGATTTTGAATCTAACGATCGAAAAATTTATGCAATAGGATCGATTAACGGCTGAAGTCAGAAATCGTCAAGTGAGACAATGGACACATTGATAGCGAAACTTTAGTAAGTACAATAGTTTTTCTATGGCTATATCACGAACAAGCTTACTTTTCTATGTTACACAAAAATTGTGCATATAGTAGAATTTTGAATGTTAGATACAATGTGAATGTTAGATACTATGTTAGGTAAGTATCTACAAGACTTATGTAATTGTATAACTTTATTATGTAAAAAGTATGTATCGATGTTAAGTCAAGATCAAACTAAGAGAAATGAAATGTTAAACTTTAACGAAAAGTTAATCTCATGATAAAATGCTCAATAATACACAAATTCATAAGATTTAATTAAAGTTACCGTTTCAATGAGAAAATTGATAAACGGTAAGAGACTAAACATCCTGTTTGTACCAGCCTTCGAATGAAAGGTTATTATGAGACTATGAAAAATATGAAACCGTGACTGAGTTGGATTGGTTAGCTACCCCACTCCTCACTAGTTATGCGCATTATGGTACAACATGACAGAGTCCATAAGAAGTAAAAGACAAGAAAATGAAAAACAGAAACCATTCCATATAAATGTACGGTATCTGTAAAGAAAAATGAAAAGAATGAGAAACACGAAATGAAAGTTGCTTAGAACGTGAAAATACGATGTGAATGACTAAAATGAGACGAAAGCAGAACAAAGAATGTAATGAAAGAAGAAGAACATAAGCCATGCATGTTTTAGTAGTACAGAATGTATTATAATATATGACATGAATGCATATATGGGTATGCATAATTATTGCATATGTTATAACCTATTGATACTTGCTGAGCGAAAGCTCATTAAGTTTGTTCGTGTTGTAGGAAGCTTGGGTAAGGCACCGGCTCCCTGAAACTTGTTGTTGGGCATGTAGAGAGGATGTAGCAGTGGAGTGTAGGCAAGTGGGTTGTGGATGTATCAAGTGTTTTGAAAACGCTACCAAACATTATGTGTAAAATAAAATAGTGTTTTATGTATTTTGAGGACTAATGTAACAGAATGCCGTCATAATGCTACGGCATTTTAGGCATGACTAATATAACAGAGTGTTGTCAGAATGTTACAGCATTTTGAGAATGACTAATGTACAAAATGCTACAGCATTAAGACATATGAATTGTAAAAAACAGAATGCTAGCTAAATGCTACAGTATTTTAACGTACATGGTAAAAAAAAATGGCCTGAGATTTCAAGAGATTATAACTAGTAAGTGTTAGAGGTTAAGTAACGTTAAGTATGAGTATAAGATGACGGTCAAAAGTTAGAATCGTCACACAAACAAACAAAAAACATAAAATGTCTTATATGCCAGGTCTTCCAGAAGGCCATTCTCCAAGGCTATGTTCATCAACAGTGAACATAAAAAAAAATATATATATATATATATATATATATATATATATATATGAAATTAGGCTACAATGGGCTTTTCGTGGGCTGGCACATTGTGGGTCTATATGGGCCGAATCAAGTGGGCCATATATGGGTCAGGATGAGCCAACTCATGTTGGGTCTGTTCGTGCCGACATGGTACGGTCCAAGCTCGGCCTGGCTCATGATTTTCATGGGTCGTATTGGGCAGCCCAACCCATCAATTTTGTTAGGATAGTCCAATCCACTAATTTTATTGAGCTGAGTCGTATCTTAAACATTATCGTGTCGAGCTGATCCAACCTAGCACTGTATCAAAATGAGCCCGGACCGGCCCACAAGTCTCGATCCATAGTTACATCTCTAACCTAACTCCACTCATCTCCCTTGTATTTTTCTTCTCTTTTTTTCCCCTTTTTCCTGGGCCTCAATGTCCAATAGAGCAACTTGGGGGGTCTGAACCTATTATTACCAAAGATTAAATGTGGAGGCGTAAGGATGACTTTCCTTTTATCATTATTCTAATAATGAATAGAAAAATCCTTATCACAAAGATCATTCAAAGAATTTATTCAAATAGCAGCAGCCCCATATAGCCTCCCTCGACAGTTGAAAACCGGTCCTGTGACGAGAAAGTCAAAGGTCTTGAGGTACAAGATAAGGCTTAATATAATCTATCTTTTTAATTTTATTTTTGGAATTTTGGGGAATACGGCTATTAATTTCAATGTCTAGCATTCATTTCAGAGGATATACGTCTCTACCTTTGAATTTCATCGTGACTACCATTAATAGCTTAATTGCAACTTGGTACCTCGTAATCACGTGGTGACAAAACAAAAAGAAATATAAAGTAAATAAATAAAACTGTGGATGCAATTTATTTACCCTTAGAAATCAAGACAAATATCAATGAGTACTAAGTTAAATGATAATAGATAAATTATACAGTGAGATTTTGAGTTTGAGAAAATGCGGGTTAAAAAATCTCCATATTGAATATGAAAGCATGGATTTACCGTGAGCCACAAGCGTTCACCCGTGGTACATCATTCCACGTTGCTTAAATCATCTCCTTATGTCCCTATTATGCACTAATTTGTAAACACAAATCCAAATTAGCACGAACAAAAGCATTACGTACGTTAAAGTCGTATTAAAAATTTTTGTTTGCTTGGCCATGAACTTTCCTTTGCCAGCGACAATAATATTATTAGTGGATCATTTAAAAATGAACAAATAAATTTCTTAGCGGGACCAAGTTGTGAAACAAAAATGGACTTGAATGCACAAGTGCAGAAAACATGACTGTAATTCCCGGACGACTTCTTACTTCTTAGATAAATGGTAAATTAAGTGGTAGTTCCTCCCGTAGAATCTTTCGACTGTAGAGTCCGTTTTTAATTGTTAAATTTTATTAAAATTATATTAAATTAAAAAATATATAAAATAAGTATTTTTTATACATATTATATATATATATATATCTATTCATATGACGTTTAAAATTAAAGACTAGTCAGTAGTGTATTTTATTTTATTTTGAATGTGTGCGGGAGAAACTCTTAGGAGACGTTTGGTTCATGAATTAGAATAATGTGATTAAAATTATTTTTAATTTATGTGTATTTTTTATAAAAAAAAATACTATAATAAATTATGAATTATGATTCAAATTATAATTTGAATCCTCAAATCAAACGTCTCCTTAAATTAAGCGGCTAATTGATTGCAGGGATTATAACTTAGAGTGAGGGAATTATAACTTAGAGTGAGGGCTAGAGAGAGATAGTAGTTTATTTTTTAAAATACATATTAGAGGAACTCCCAAATTATGCCGCTAATTGATTGTAGGGATTATAACTTAGAGAGAGAGAGAGAGAGAGAGAGAGAGAGAGAGAGAGAGAGAGAGAGAGAGAAGAGAGAATATGGCAAAAGTACTGAACATAAAGCTAGTTGAGTCCAACAATGATGCTGTCATGTTGGTCATCAACTAAGAGCTAACTAGAATGGACCCCCCCTGAAAACACTAGTGTAGGGGAAAAGGGCACACTTTTTGACACCAACCATCATGCCACACATCCACGCACAAAAAAACCTTGCCTTAAAATAACAAAATGCAAATATAAAACACTTAAATCCCTTTAATATTACGTGATAACGTTATCCTGATTTTTTAAGCTTCATGCCCTTCGGTACCACGTGCTCTAATACTTTTTGGATTCACATTAATAGGCCGTAAAATATACATTACATATAAGACTTAAAATTTAAAATTTAAGTTTAATTTTTCTTGAAAAAGTAACTATATAGGTGAAAATATCTTAAATACATTATGCAAATTATAGAATATATTTTAAAACATGTTTCTTTTTTTAATGACAAACGTAAAATAAATTAATAAAAATGATTAATATTAAATATCTCAATATCAGAAAAAGTTCAAAAACAATCCAACATAATTGACATTTCATCACGATTCAAACAATATTTATAATTATGCATGATGCTTTGTGCGTCTAAATTTAATTGTATTTTTTTCAAACTTGTCACTTGTATGAAACTAACAACCTCTAAAGATTTCAAAGAAACTAAAATTCTGAAATTTAAGACTAAAATATTGATGTTGATCATAAGATCGATCAACTCGTTTTGGAACCGGTATTTTTAGTTTGCATTATTTTCAAACTTTAACGGGTCAGATTGGATTTAGATACACTATATACTTACAAAACACTTCTGTTATTCACATAAAATGTGTCTACTTATGTGGATAAGTGAGACTTAATTTAATGAGATTTAATATTTTATGAGTGATGGAGTTTTATCTAAAGAGATAAATATTATTTTTCATCTTGGCAGCCCTACCGAAAGATGTCTTCTACGCAGAGGGGGACACGTTTGCATGAACACCCACATACCGGTACGACGACATTACACTGTAAAACCCCCCCAGTAGGGCGGCGCTTTGCGCGCCGCGAGCACCAGAGCAAAAAATGCCAGTCTTAACTCGTAATTCGTAAATAAACAAAAGCAACATTTACTATTATACTATTTAAATAATAAATATCATCTCATTAGAAAAACTAAAAAAAAAAGACGAAAAGTCTGGTCAAAAACACAAAAATAAATAAATAAAGAAGAAGAAGAAGAAGTAAAAGGGTATAGAGAAAAACTGGGTGGGGCACATTGGATGCTTCGTTACCAAACACAGTCTCTAATCTCGAACCAGTAGCGTACACACGTAAATAAACTCGGAACCAAACAAGGAAATAAGAAGAAGAAGAAGAAGAAGAACAAGCTTTGAAGCTTTTTAGCTTTCTTTGCCAATTTCTTTTCTCTCTCCTTTGTTTTTTTCCTCTTTTTGCTGCTTTTTTTGCAATTTCTCAATATCCTCGCTTCGACGCGCTCGAGGATTCCATATTTCGCTTGTTGTTTGTTTGTTTTTGGGTAAAACCCCTTTGTTAAATTCTGTTTAATTAGTTTAATTATTAAACGAATTGGTTAATTTTGATACGAATCTTCCGCTCTCCTTTGCGGTTTCTTATTCAAAGCAGAAGAACAGCTTTGTTATGGCCGCCTAAGCGCTCGCTCTCTCTCTACCTTTTTGTGCCATCGTCTGTTTCTCTCTCTTCAAGTTCGAGGTTTTTCAGAGGTGAAGTTTGATGCTTTATTGATATCTGTAATCGAATTTCAGTTTTCTCAATCTGTTCTTTTCATCTCCAAGTCTTCTGATGTATTTATTTATTTTTTAAAAGAATTTAATTGTTTTTTTTTATGTGATCTTAATTTTGGATACTTTGTGATAATCGTTGTGTTTAGTTGTGAAATTCGGTGCTTGGAAGAACTAGCCAATTGTTGTTTTGTACTTTTGTTTATTTATTTATTATTATGTTTTTTGGAGGGGAGTTGGAGACGGATGAACTTATGGTAACTGTAACGAGTTAGATAAAGTTTAGCGATCTACTTTGCAAAATGAAATAAGAATAAATTTTGGATTTTTAGATTAGATGAAATCTAACTCAAGAAAGATTTGTTGGGAGAGAATAATTGATTGAAAAAGATTCCTTATTGAAAAATGTTGGACATGCCATAAATAAATACCCATAATTTTGATTGCTTTATGTTTGTAACCGGTTTAGAGTTTCTGGGTGTTGATAATTGATGGTTTTTTGCGGATATTGATGGCTTAGTTACTCTTCTTATTAGTTTATTTGTGTCCTGTACTTGGATTTTTGTGAATATGAAATGCTTTTGGCAGGTGGTGACTTTAAAAATGACCAAGAATGAAGATTCAGGTAGCCCTGGGTGGGGGGCTTCGTTTTTCATGCAAACGACTGAGGATGTTGCACGGGCGGTAGCTGCTGCGGCGGCAGCTGCCACCGCCTCGCGTTCTCCGCGGCCGTCGGTGATATTTTCGTCGAAAGATGATAATGGTGGCAGCCAACTTCTTAAAATACAGCGCCAAGTTGCAAGTTTCCTGAAAGGCTTCTCACAGCCTCCTGAAGTGAAAAGTGTAACTTATAATCCAGAAGTTCTTACTAGCCTGAAGCGTCAATGGGCAAACTTTCAGTTGCAGTACTTGGTAAGGCATTTGTCTTCAGTGGATTGGTTTAATTTCATGTTACTTATTTCGATGTTAAGAGCTTTTGGACTGGTGATATGTTTTTCTTCTTTTATTGCTATTGGTAATTATTTTTAAGTTGCTTCGTAGTTCATACCACGTATTCAAGGTTTAACTGATACCTTGATACTCACCTTTGTGGGATGTTAAGGCCTCTAACAATGGCTAAATGTTTGATCTTGTGGCCTGTCAGCTAATGGAAGCTATAGCATCGAAGTTTTAGCCATAGTGTTTATGTAACATTTGTCTTCTTTAAGCGTGCAGGACCATAGGTCTTTAAAGGAGCCAACGAGGCTTTTTGAGAGCATGGTAGTTGTTGGACTTCACCCCAATTGTGACATCCAGGCACTCGAGAGGCAATATGTCGGAAGAAAGTCCGAAGCTTCTGGAAAACTGCGAAGTACACTTAGTTATCAAAATCAATCACGTGTAGAACCCAATCTCGAACCACAGGTGGGGGTTTGATTGCCAACATCTTCATGGTTTCATATAAAAAATTTTGGAAGCGATCTGAATACCTCTCTTTCTCTTTTCAGGTCTTATTTGTTTACCCCCCAGAAAAGCAGCTGCCACTCAAATACAAGGATCTTCTTTCATTTTGCTTCCCTGGAGGCGTGGAGGTTAGGCGTTTGCTTGAGTGGTGGTTTGCCATTCATCTTTTCTGTTGATCAATACTTTATTGTGACATATCCTCTATCCTCTGGTGTTAATCTTAATCTGGAGGATAGTTTTCTTGATTACAGTCTGCTTGCAGAGGTTTCATAGCAGAAAGTGCAGACTGTGTAGTAAATTATTCTGATATTTTGGACTCTTTGTCAACACTTTGAGATTGTCAACCAGCCAAATAGTCTGTCGTCAATGGTCAATGTTTATGTTAGGTTCACATTTCTTAGAAGACGAAAATTTGTAAGGTTCATGTTTTACCAGGAAAAGAGAAAAAAAACAAAAACAAAAAGAAAAAAAGAAAAAAAGAAAAGAGAACATTGGTTAAATATATGTGCGATTTGTCTGGTCAAAGTTATAGTTAAGTTAGGGAAGAGAGATGTGAATTTCTGAAATTGTTTCTAAATCTCTTGTTTTCATTTTCAGGTTCATGCTGTTGAAAGAACTCCTTCCATGAGTGAATTGAATGAAATTCTTCTTGGACAGGTATTTTACTTTTATCTTCCTAGTATCAATCTCAAAATTCGTCTTAGAAATGGTTGGGTTTCTTCTCGTTTCTTCTTTCTAGCTCTTTGATGATCTTTCTATGCAAAGCTTTATCTCTTTTTACCCTCCATTGCCTTGTAAGGTTTCTGCTGTAAGTCTTTTGGTTATTATTTTATTTCATCTTGACTTTAAGTAACTTCTTGAATTGATGGGATTTGTCATTTAACTTTGCTGGGCACGTTAATATTTCCCATGTATCATAAGTTGCACAACCCTGGAGTAACCTTCATTTCTACGAAAAGCACTTCGGTTCATATCTACAGATTTTGAGGGTTGAAGCTTTTAATGGTCTAAGGAAGGCCTCTGAGCATGAAGCTTCTTTCTTTACACTTGAATGCCCGATCTGTTAACACTGAAATGATCAGTAGGAACATAGCTTAAAGCTTTAGAGCCCGTTTGGTTGGAGGATTCGTTCTCTGATTCGAATCATGATTCATGGTTCGCTACAATATTTTCTCTCACAAAAAACACACGTAAATCGAAAATGGTTCTAATCTCATGATTCTAATCCATGAACCAAACGGGCTCTTACTATTGAATCTGATACAAGCTGTCTTGAATCCGTACTTTCAGTGCTATTCTAATTTTCAATGTAGCTTATTTCATTTAGTTTAGACAAAAATAAATAACTTGCAAGATTGATGATTGATCTTATTGGTGATGTTATAATGCAGGAGCACCTTAAACAAAGCGACCTGTCCTTTGTATTCCGGTTACAGGTAAAATATAAAAACTGATTCTGCGACATTTTGCATTTGTAACACAATGTCCAAAAGGAGCAGTCCGTAACTTAACTTTGCTTCCATTAGATGCTTTTACTTCTGTCGCTTGACTGAGCAATTTATTTTTCTTTTTGCTTGAACATAAACATTCTATATCTTTTTCCTGATGATCCATATTATTCTGCGACATTTTGAAGGTTGCTGATGATTCAACATTGTATGGATGCTGCATGTTAGTTGACGAACTCGTGCACAAACCCTCTGGGTTGCTTTCCATTGTCTCAGATAAACAACCTCCCTACCCCTCTTTGAGCCGCCATATGCTAACCACTCGGAGATGTTATTGCATTATCTCAAGGCTTCCCTTCTTTGAATTACACTTTGGTGTATTGAATAGGTATGTTTATATTGTATCAAACAATGTGATTTTTCTTGTTCTATCTTGCAATGTAGTCTTGATATGTGTTGGAGTTTTAATTGATATATATTTCTCAATCATGTGTTTATTCATTTGACATTTTTGCTTTCTTGCAGTATCTTCACAGAAGAAAGGTTAGAACGACTAACAAAAGGTATTGCTGGTTTAGATTTTGAATCACCAGAGGACCATAACAAGGAAGAAATAGATGAAAATACAGAAGAAACTACAGATAGTGCATCACGAGATGATAGTGCTGCTGATGACATGCTTAATGGATCAGTGGAATTTTTCCAGAATAAAGATTCTGAAACTGTAACAGTTGCAGACAATGGGAATACCCCAGAATATGAAATGCTCGACAAAGATGTTGACTTGCTTAAGAGAAGGATTGATGATAATGTTGTTCTAGTTGAGCATGAAACCCCTATAGTTACAGCCAAAAGAGAATCTGTTGCTGCAAATAGGGAAGAATGTGATGTTTATGCTGATGAAATTGTTTTAAACAAGCAAGGAGTAGAAAAGCGTTTACCAACTGCTGTTCTGCCTCTCCTGCGCTATTATCAGTATGAAAGCTCTGAATCTTCATCAAGGTAGAACCTTGCGTATTTGCTGTCTTTCATTTTGCATTGTTTGTTCAGATGTATGTGGTGGGCACTGGGCAGCATGGTTTTCTGGGAACTATTGCTTCTTTTTTATGTGTTGATTGTCTGTTGACTATTATCTGTCCTTTTTCTTCTTTCTTGGGTCCAAAACGAAGTTAGGTGAAACAGGGTGAACTATGTGTAACCAGGATATCTTAAAACTGTTTTGTGCAGTTTTCAGGGTTCTCCTTGTGAGGACAGGAATTTTCGGAGCGACGTTGATGATACTGAGACGGAAGAAGCATCCTTTTCTGGCCGAGATGATTCTAGTGATCTTATTGATATTTTGGAATGGGCTAAGGTACATTAGATCATCTGTTTAGGTGTTTAAGATGTTAGTTAGCACTATTGTCTCTTGGAAGTTGAACCCTTTTTTTTCCCTGCTAATTTTCAGGCGAATGACCATGGTTCACTCCAAATTATATGCGAATATTACCGCCTACGTTGCCCTGCAAGGGGTTCCACGCTCAGATTTCATCCTTTGGAGCACCTGCATCCCTTAGAGTATCATAGACCGGAAAAAACCGTCATACGTATTGCCGGTTCAACTATTGACTTGAGGTCATGCAGTACAACGTTAGAATATGCTGAGGTAGATTATGATAACAGTTTGCTCTCTTCCAATTTATTATCCATGAAGAATATGTCAACTTGGGGATGTGATTCTTCAGTCTTGCTCCTCAATTCAGACTTGCTTAGTCAGTTGCATCATATTGTTGTCGGTTTTATTAGGCACATAATGCACTCTTGGTGGAAGAAGAAGCAAATGCATTATCAGTATGGGCTATTGCAAGCATATGTGGATCTCTACGTCTTGAAAGTGTAAGTTGCTGGGAGAATATTGAAATGTACCTTTCACTCTTTCCATTAAATCATCCTCTTATTTTCAGCTTTCTAGGCATTATTGTCGTGGTCAGCTTGCTTGAAGTTATGTAGGCTGCTTTCTTTAGATAGGATAGAACCTCTCGTCAATTTGTTTATATCCAGTGTACTTGATTGGATATCTTGATGGGATATTTTGTTATTAATTTGTTTAGCACTTTGCAGGTATTAACATTGTTTGCCGGAGCATTGTTGGAGAAACAGACAGTGGTGATCTGCTCCAATTTGGTGCGTTATACTTTCCATTGATCTCATAGTTGTTTGGTAAAGATGATTGATCTGCATGGATTTCCATATTGTCTGAAATCCTTCAGAAGGGTGTGCTGGATTCAATGTTGAAAGAGGGTTACACTTAAAAATGTGGCAGATTGATTTCTAGGTTGAGAGTTGTTAAAATTTGCTTAAGTTAGGTTAGAAAATGGTTTTGAATTTTGATTAGGTAGTTGCTTCCTTGACATATGACATCATATATTAATTCCACAAACTAGTCACTTCCATTGATGTTCGTTATGATTTTAGTCGTGGGACGGGGTAACATGTAACATGTATCTGGAGATGCTTCGATCATTTTCTCAAGTGTTTCTTTTTCTTTTTGTTGAAATTCTTTGCAATTTGTTTTGGACCTTTCATTTTTACTGGTCTTAATGATTTTGGTACCTTAATGGGAAAAACTAAAAACTTCTAATATTACTGTGCATACAGGGTATCTTATCGGCTATAGTATTGTCCATTATACCTCTGATTCGTCCCTACCAGTGGCAAAGCCTGCTAATGCCGGTAAACTTTATTCCATTAGAGATTTGCTCGAAGAGCGGTTGCTGTAGTAACAACTGTCTTGCTCTTTGACTTCTTATGTGACCTTGGTCATGTTTGTAAACTTTCAGGTTTTACCGAACGACATGCTAGACTTTTTGGATGCACCTGTCCCTTACATTGTGAGTTTTTAAATGTTGGCTTGGTACTGTTTCTTATCTCTTGGATACTGAACTTAAACTCCCTTGTGTAGGTTGGTGTAAAGAACAAAACCAATGAAGTTCAGTCAAAGTTATCCAATGTCATTCTGGTTGATGCGAATAAGAACCAGGTAAGTAATTATAATAACTATCCTTGTACATGAGTAATGCGTATTAAAGGCTTGTTCTGATTAATTTTCTTTCGCATGATGCTATAGGTGAAATCACCTACCATACCTCAACTGCCAAAACAAAAGGAATTATTATCATCCTTAAGTCCTTACTATGCAAAGCTTGTTGGAGAAAGTTATTTAGCGAAGAAAAGGCCAACGTACGAGTGCACGGATGTACAGGTGTGATCTTTTACTTCATCTACGTAACCTTTAATTTTCTGGTTACGTAATCGAGGCCTTTGTAAAAATAATTCTTTTAAAAAGTTTTATTAGTAAAATAACTTTTCAAAAATTTTTATTTGCAAAATGACCTCTTTTTACAAAGAATGATTAAGTGTCTTTCTTCATAAAAAATAGAAGGTCATTTTGCTAATTTCACTTTGTTGGAAAGTTATTCTAGCATATTGCCCTACGTAATCCTGTAAAGGGTAGACTGAAGTCATTTCCCCGTAATAAGAAAAAAGCTACAAAAGCATAGAACTTTCTCTTGCTTGAGAAAGTGGAGTGTTTGATCCAGTTTTTAACTAATACTGATTGTTCAACGTTGTTAGTAATTCTAAAGCAGGAAAAAAAAACCTTATTAGTAACACGGAAGAATTATAGTTTGCCTCTGGTAACTTTCGTTACTGATTCTTTCCTTGAAAGCGAATAAGTGATAATATCGAATCTTTTTTACGTTTTCCTTGTAGGTTGAAGCTGCCAAGGGGTTTCTATTGGTGTTAAGAGCTTACTTGGATTCACTTTGCTCTAACCTCCGTTCTCACACTATTACAAATGTACAGTCAAATGATGATAAGGTTGGTATGCCTTCCGTGTCTGCAAAAGGATGTCTCAAAATTCTACATTGCTGAAGATATATTGATGTTGCAGTTTCTGGATCAATTGTGATATCTTGAAATTCATTTATCTTTACATAAGCAAATCGGCATAAATGAACTAAATCTTGTGCACGTGATCCTGACAAATGGGACGTAGGCTAATGACATACCTTGGTGTCACCAACGTACCATTTTGTTCTGTTGGTAGAAGTGAGGATTAAAATTTAGTCCTTTGTGCTGTTGAACCTCATATATTACCACAAAGCGTGCACATTCTCATGATGAGCTGCATTTTATTTCTTGAAGAGTGTAGTCTGATTCTGATTTTTTTCAATGTTCAGGTATCTCTACTTTTGAAGGAGAGCTTTATTGACTCATTCCCTAGTCGCGATCGACCATTTTTGAAGGTGCATTTTTGTTCCATAATTTGTTTTTCTTTATTTTCCTTGTTAAGTTCACCAGTGATCGACCTTATTTTAGGAATCGTCCCAATACCAGGAATAGATTCCCCTTCTTCTGATGAAAACTTCATACGATAGCTGTCCTAACTGTTCACAGATGATGATGATTAGTATTATTACTAGTAGGGGCGTAAGGACTGATATTTAATTTCTTTTCCTCTTTGGACTGCAAGTCACTATTACTTAGCTTGAATCCAATGTTCTCGCGGTGTTCAATTAGTCTCAGCATAAGCTGATACCGATGTTCTTTTTTCCTGAAAGATGCTGATGTTCTTTCTTTTTCCTGCATGCTTGCAGCTTTTCGTGGATACACAACTATTTTCTGTACATACAGATCTTGTGCTCTCTTTCTTCCAGAAGGACTAATAAGATGTTTTCAAGGTTTAGTGTTGAGTTCTGTTTTCATATTGTAACTTGAACGTAAGTTCAGTGTTATCTAGGCTTTCTAAATTATATGATTCGACTGAGTTGAAAAGAAAATTTTTGCTTGAAATGTTCTTCCCCCTCATCTGCTGTATATATGAAAAACGAAGTCTGGCCTGAGTTTGCAGCTCTTTTATGAGAATATCATGTATTCTCATCAGAAATGTTTATGAACCCCCCTCTCTTCATGTACGTTTGCATCATTTGGCTTCTACAGATTATATACAAAACAAAAGGATACAATCTTTCTGTTTTAGCATTCCATTTTATTTGTTTACACATTTGGAGATACCGACCAATGGCGATTGCGTGAATGATTGGATTTCTTTGTACTTTAAACTATAATTTGTTAGCGCCAATGGATGGATTTTGTGTTAGATGCATAGTACCACATGGAATAATTATAAGATGCTTAGGTCCCTCTCCGCTTGCCCGCCGGTTTTGCAGGGGTGAGTTCTGCCTAATGGGTTCCCAACATTTTGCTTGCGAAGTCATGTGGAACTGAACTTTGATTCTGGTACGAAGGCCTTTAAAATTGAGCGTTCTCGAGAACTTGTACTCAAACATTCTTTGAGCACAGACCAATTAGTAAAATTTTGAGCTGGACCCAGAAGCTTAATATTCTGAAAGATCCATATTGTTCGGCTTCGACCAAAAATAACAATCACCGTGATTTTACCCAAAGATGCTAATTTTTTTTTGCACTTCTCTTTGCATTTGTCGAAAACTGGCTACGGTCCCTACAATTGGTTATCGCAAGTTCCTTGGGTAAGAACAAACTTTGCAAAAGATTTTTATCGGTTTGTTTCATAAATTCGAGCTATTGTTCAAACCTTTTGATTACAGTGTTTTTCTCATAAAATTTAAATTTCTGTTTAAATTTTTCTATTTAGTTTCTACCTAGGTAATTTAACTCAGGCCATTTTGTTTTCTATTTAGTTCTTGTTAATATAAATCTTGAGTTTGAAAGTAGATTAGGAAGAAAATGAAAGTATTGTACTGTTGTCTGGGAACAAGAGTTACTTAGGGAAATATGAAAAGGGAATTTATATAGAAGATGCAGCTGAGATGTTCAGAATCCCACACCTCAGTGGGGTCTTTTAGTACGAAAAAAGGTCGTTTGCATGTGTTTTGGCCTGCCAGGGGATAGCAACAGTTCCACAGAGTTCACTGCCTTTTGTACCACTGCCAAAGTTGAGCAGAATAGTTTCAGTGGATTTATTGCCAGCTAAATAATGTTAATTTCTTTTTACTCTTACAACTCTCTCTAATTTTTTTTTTTTTTTTTTTTTTTTTTTTCTTTTGGCTTCAAATGAAAAAAAGAAGAAGAAAAGAACGTTATAGCGGTGAATGTTTTGGCAAAAAGAAACAATTTTCATTACGTTTTATTAGATTTGTATATTATTTAACTTGATTTAACTTAGATATACAAGACGCAATTTGTTTCTTACCACACAAACAGCCTTGGGTCATGCAAATACTAAAAAGCACCAAAAAAAACAAACAGTAAATTGATTTTTTTTTCGGTGGAAACAATAATAAATTAACCTATGCAGTTATGACCCTCGTGCATCTGATCTTTCAAAAGTCTAGCTCCAATTCCTAGGATGGCATACTCTACACGTTTATTAAAAGTACGTTTAATTCATTAATTTGAGTTAAGATGTGATTTTATACAAGAGATTTTAATTGTAATAAAAAAGTTAAAGCTGATTATTTTTTAGAGATTTTTACTGTAATAAAACTTAAATTTTAAACTTAAATCGGTGAAATGAACGAGACTTAAATTGACGTGTCTTGTGTCTCTTTTTTCATTTCAATGGCACTGGGACATTAGTAGCGTCTGACTTCACACACTAATACAAGTTGAATTCCATGTATGAGTTTCAAAGATGACACGTATCTTTTATTAGTTAAGGTGTTTAAGGCCGTGTTTCATCAACTTGAGTTTAAAATTTAAGTTTTGTTACAGTAAAAAAATTTTAGAAATAATCACATATTTTTTTTTATTACAATAAAAAATTCTCACATAAAATTACATCTCAACTTAAATTAAAAACTTAGATCAGTGAATTAAACAGGTCCTAAATGTTGGATATTAGTGTCCTCAAAATATATATTTTTTATTTAAAGGAGGCTATTTTTTTCTTGGTAAAAAAAAGATTTTTTATTTATTTAAAGGAGGCTTTTTTTTCTTGGTAGAAAAAAAGAAAAAGAAAAAAGGATAGCTTTACGGTAGGTGTGGAAAAATACACTATCTCGTCAAAAATGGTTTTAACAATTTTACATGTTTTTCATATGAAAGCGCCTAAGAAAAAAGCCAACGGCTAAAGAATATGTACTTGTAGTTGTAGACACATTTTATAGCATAATCAAATAAGAAATTTCAAGACATTAAGATGTAAAAAAAAGAATCAAAGGGAATCATATAGTCTGTCTTTTTTAATGCATAATATTTTCTTATTTCCACGAGGGAATAACGCCCTTGATATCACAGGCACAAGGTTAAATGCTATAGTAATTTGGCCAAAACAGATTTTGCTCAGACAAAGATGAGAATTTTACTATAAAAAATATTTTATTAATACAGACTATGAGTTTCACGTGTGTTTATTTTGATGTGATTTTGATTAAATTTAATATTAAAAAAAGTGCATTATCCCATAAACTAAAAATAAAATAAAAAAGAAAAAAATAGGACAAGCAAAGCAACAAGGCAGCATATCCCTTCTGGGCTGCTTTCTGTGATCTGAAGCATTAGAGCCAAAATAAACAAGAAATGAGTATACATATCTTGTGTGCAATAAATGAAGAGGGTAAAAAGGGAAGGAAAACTTTGAAAATGGAGGGGTCCAGTTTGTATTGTTATTATTATGCTTGCGCTTATCAGAAGTCCCTGAAAGAGTGCACACCTGCTCTGAATCCATATTCCCCAACTTGAAAAAAGGTCAATTTGTAAGGGTATATTTGGTAAGAGAGATGGAGAGGAATGGAGAGACTGGGTGAATCTATTATTTAGTTGGAGAGAATTGGAGAGAGAAAGAGAAAACTTAGAGAGAGATAGTCTCATTTCGGACCTATTATTTTGAATCTTTTTATTAATAGAACGATTTTTATTTATTTTATCAATTTAAATTTAAAATTTAAATTTTATTACAGTAAAAAATTCTTAAAAATAATAACATATAATTTTTTTATTACAGTAAAAAAATTTCACATAAAATCACATATTATTTCAAATTAAAAATTCAAATCAATAAATTAAACGGATCAAAATCAACCCATCTAATTTTAAATTAAAAAAACTATTTTATTCTTCAAAATAAATTATTAATAAAAACTAAAATTAATAATATAATAATTAAATAAATAATTATTACCTATTTTTTTAACCCTCTCTTTTTTTTATCAAATAACATAAAAAAATTATTATAATTTTCTCTATCTTTTTATAACTCTTTTCATCGTTCATACTCTTATCTCTCCTGCGAAACGAAGCCTAGGTGAGCCTCTGAGGTAAGGAATCAGAGAGAAAGAAAAAAAAGTAAAAAGAGTTAGTAGTAGTAAAAGCCCAAAACCCGTACAATCCTCCTCAGACAAGGCATTGGCTTCAGACACCAACATTATAATAATAATAAATTCTCTCTCCTTTCTCTCTCTCTCTTTTGATATTTGAAAAAAAGATATTTATTTGTTTTTTTCTTTTTTAACTTTTCCTTTTAGTTTATGGGTTTCCGTAGAGATGTCAGAGACAAGAGCTGCCACAGAGGCAGCTTAGCTGCAGACTGCAGAAGAACCAGAAGCAACAGAGAGGTGCAGAAAGAGAGAGAAAGAAAGAGGGAGAGAGAGTAAAGGAAAGAGGTGGGCATGCAACACCATAATCAGAACCATTAGTTGTATCCATGTACAGAAGATTCTGCAGCTCAATGGTCCCTGAAATAAATATACCTACTCACTCAGTCACTCACTCACACTCTTCCACTCCAAACCCCTCTCTCTCTCTCTCTCTCCTCTTCTCTGCTTCTCTCTCTTAGCAAACACACCTGCTTCCCCTGTTTCCCTCTGAACTCTGAACCTGTCTCTCGTTAGTCTCTTCACAAACAAAGTTTTTTTGCTTCTGCTTGAAACTTTTCCTTTCTTTGTTGTTGTTGTTGTTTTGGTTTTTGCTTGTTATTACAGTGTTATTATGAGTGGAAGGAACAGGTTTCCCTTCACAGCATCACAGTGGCAAGAGCTGGAACACCAAGCTCTCATCTTCAAGTACATGGCTTCTGGGATCCCCATCCCTCCTGATCTTCTCTTCACCATCAAAAATTCCTACTTGGACTCTTCACTTTCCTCCAAGCTATTGATCCCTCAACATGGTAATTCTTTTTCTTTTCTTTTCTTTTCTTTTTTTAACTTGACATTTACGATTTTGATTATACACATATATATATGTATATGTGTGCGTATTATGCAGTAGGGTGGAACTGTTTCCAAATGGGGTTGGGGAAAAAAATAGACCCGGAGCCCGGGAGGTGCAGAAGAACAGATGGGAAGAAATGGAGGTGTTCAAAGGAGGCGTTTCCGGATTCAAAATACTGTGAAAGACACATGCATAGAGGGAAGAACCGTTCAAGAAAGCCTGTGGAAGTTTTCAAGTCACCAACAACTTCTGCATCACAAACACCAATCTCATCATCATCATCAATCACACACAAGAATAACCTCTCCAATATGATCACGACTACTAGTACACAAACACAAACACCCAACTCTAATAACTCCCTTTCTTCAGTATCTTATGACTCCCAAAACCGCCATAATCTCCAATACCCTTGTTACAATAACTCTTTGGTTTATCATCATCATCCCCACCACACATCTTCTTCTAGGCCTCATCATGGTATGATTGGTTTGCCATCTCAAGACAGCAATACATCCTTGCTTTTTGACTCGGACTTAAGGTTAGCAAGTCTTACCAAAAAAAAAAAAAATGTTGAAGTTTGGTTAATATTACCTAAGGCCGAGAGAAAACACTATTAACAAAAAAAATTTAATTATGGTTCAAACTGCGAGCTAAACTGCATCTTATTTTGAGGTTATACATAAATGTTCTGTTTTTTTTTTTTTTTTTTTTTTAATTTCTTAATGGTGGAGAAGAAATAGGTATCATCATGTGTATGGAATGAGAGAGGTTGAAAAAAAAAAAAAAATGTTGAAGTTTGGTTAATATTACCTAAGGCCGAGAGAAAACACTATTAACAAAAAAAATTTAATTATGGTTCAAACTGCGAGCTAAACTGCATCTTATTTTGAGGTTATACATAAATGTTCTGTTTTTTTTTTTTTTTTTTTTTTTTAATTTCTTAATGGTGGAGAAGAAATAGGTATCATCATGTGTATGGAATGAGAGAGGTTGATCGTGATGATCATGACCATGAACATGAACATGCTTTTTTCTCGGAAGAACCTTCTTCAGGGACTATTACGAGGGGATTTTCATCCATGGATGATTCTTGGCAACTCACGCCAGTACTATCAATGAGTTGTTCATCTTCTTCTTCTTCGAAGCAGAGAAGTACTTGCTCTGGTTTGCAGAACGAGCATTCTTATTTGCAGCTTCAGAGTGCTTCTACACAAGCTTATTATAAGCAACAAGAGCATTGTGATCTGAAAAAGGTTGAGAGAAAAGAAGAAATTGCTCAGAAGACCATTCACTTCTTTGACGAATGGCCAGTGAAGGAAAAGGACTCGTGGCTTGACTTGGACGACAAATCTTCCAACAGTGGATCTGTTTCCACAACACAGCTCTCCATTTCGATTCCCAATACGAACTCTTCTTCATATGACTTCCCAATCTTTGGTTCCAGGATCCATAATGGTAACTGAGAAAGATAATTTTCTTCTTTTTTACCAAACACTTTCATTGTTTTGTTGGTGTTTCTTTTGGATTCACTTTTTGCTTGTTGGTTTGTTTGTTCTTGTTCTTTTTCTTAATCTTTTTCCCTTTTTTTAATGACCCAGTTGGGAATCATGGCTACAAGTTCATTTTGTTTTGTTTTGCAGGTGATTGATTGAGTTTCCTGTACTGGGTTCCTGAGAGAAATGCCAAATTGTACTTAAACTGGTGGGGCTTCTTTTATTTTATTATTGTATTTTATTTTTTGTGCGAGGTTAAAGGACTACTTCTCTCTCTCTCTCTCTCTCTCTCTCTCTCTCTCTTTCTCTCTCTCTTTATTATTTTTGTTTCAATTTTATTTGAGAATTTGAACTGGACCCAATGAAGAATCCAATGTTTCTAGCTTCTTTGGTTGATATATTATGATGATCCCTCTTTAGTTCATAATAGATTGAGATGACTCGACCATGTTTGATTATTGTTGCTAAGATTATCTTATGGGGTGTTCTGTTCAACATTTTTCTATTTATAACCATAGTTGAGGGACCGATGGTCCCATGTTTTGCTAATATGTCGCTTCTGAGATCACTGAAATTGTATCGGTAAGAGTTGAGATTCAACCTGTGGTCTTCCAACGACAAGAAATGAATTAATTACTCGCCAACTCTTCTCTCCCTACAATGCTGAGCCAAAAAGAGACGACAAGCAAAAAGTAGTTTCCTTCTTTCTTGGATAGGCTCGAGTTCTTTTTAGCATTCCACGTTACATTGAACATTTGTAGTTCATGTACAGTCATATATAACTATAACACTATTTGGTAAGATACAAAACTTTACGATGAAGTAATTTCTCATCAGCTAATCTAATGCTATTTAGGGTCAGGAGTAAACCAGTAATTTAATTAGGTTTATGTCGTTTTAGTCCTCGTCTAATAAATAAGAAAGGCGAATAGAGAAAGCCAATGACTCCCATTTTCTAAAGTCTCTTTCGAGCACTGTACGAGTAAGGGTCCATACAAGTGAGGAACAATTTAATGGCCAGGGACGTTTGTTTTCTGTATTCGTCTCTTATTTTAAATTATGATTTATAATTATCTATAGTGTTTTCTCTTATAAAAAATACACGTAAAACGAGAATAATTCTAAATTTATGAACTAAATGTATTTTTCTTCTACAAGATTTTCTTTTATTATTATTTTTTTCCCTTTGCTGTTCTCTTTGCAGGAAGGAAGGGAAAAAAAAAAAAAAAAAAAAAGGAAGAGTAGTGGGTAGGGGAACTCTTTTTGCAGTCAAGGTTGCAAGTGACTCCTTACGATCCTGAACCCATGTGCCAAATACTCAAAAAGTTGGGCAGGAAATGAAACATATAAAAGAACATTATTCCAGGTACTAGTACGACACTCGTGCATATCCCCCATATGTATCAAATCTAGCTGCACTTTTCTACTTTAATGAAAATGAGCAATGAGTTGAAATCTCACCCCAAATGTTGGCTTAACAGGGAAGAATAGTTTTTACAGCCTTTAAGATCAAGACTTCCAAAAGGGTATTGCTTTCCCAGTAAACCAAAAGGAAAGAGAAGCTTGAAATATGTTCCGTAAAGTGTTTTTTTTTTTTTTTTTTTTTTTTATATATATAAAAAATTTGAATTGGTTCAACCCATGAACCAAACAGAACTTAAAATACTTAAAATTTTAAAAGACCGCCAGATAAAGGGTGGTAGCCAACAAATAATTTAAGGTTGTTTTAAATTAATAGATATGCTGAATAGTATATAATCAATTTGTGGCATACGTGCCTCATTCCCCACAATAAAGCGTTAAAGAGTTGGAACATGATTTTAGTCACAAAAATGAGCAAGCCAAACAGTGCAGAGGAAGAGACAAAAAGAAAGAGCACAAGTCCAAATAGTCCTGAAGCATCTGGTGGTGGAAGTAAGTGGGTCTGCATCTGTAGTTGCATTAATCCAAAAAGAGGAAAGAAGTGATGACAGGCTTCAGTCTTTACAGGCTTATAAAAAAACTTCCGCACTAGTCAGTTTGGCAGAGAAATTATTTGGCTCTCCTGTCGTCAGTCACTATACCCAAAACCCTGTCAAAGAATAAGAAAAGAAAAGGGAAAAAAGAAACACATTTATAGAGATTAAAGAGAAAATTCTGTTTCACATAGAGATTTTTCCTTCCGAAGCCCTTTTTTTTTTTTTTTTTTTGTTGGGGGTAAGACCTTGTTTAGCTACGTTTTTTACCTGATCAAAAATAAAATGAAGGAATCTTAAAGAACCAATTTAAGCCATCGTTGCTGAAATTGTGCAGTCAATGTATAGAAACTCATGATAACACTCGGAAAATGAACTTGTTAGGAGCCAGGCACTATAAGCTTTAGCTGAATATTGTTTCTATTAATACGAGTTTCAAGGTACAAATACAGATTGTGATAAGTTTTTAAAGCTGTGAGCATATATTGGCACCTATAAACATTATGACGGTCTCCCAAACCAAGGCTTTCACCTTGCTGGGTTTGTTCCTGAACATCGGTTCGACTGTGGATCTCAATCATCATCATTGATGGCACCTTCTTCATCGAGCTTAACTCTGTCACTTCCCGGCATGTCTGCATAATTTTCTCTGATTTCACCAGGCTCTGGCTGCCTATCTAATTGCTCATCATCATCGGATTCTGACCATGCACGGCTTCGCCGATTAGCTGCTGATTCAGGTGCAACCTTCAAAGGAAAAGAGGAGTGTCAACCAGCCGGTAGAAAAGTAATGGCATTTTGATGAGCGAAAAAAACTGTAATCAGACTAGTTTCAGCCATAGAATGGCGCGGCATCGCGCAACGGCATTAACACTACCAAACTGGGTTTACTAGAGTTCCAAGCTGAAACATAGAAGTTTTTCATTGTTAAAAGATGAAAGCAAAAAATAGGAAGAAAATTTTCCGAAAATTTTCCACCTCGTCCTCAGCACCGGAATCTTCTAGCCCAGCTGCTGCAAGAGGATCCCGAGCATTTTCTTCTGCCGCATAATCATCTTGGTCATTAATCTGCGCAGCAGGCTCCCCATAATTCATCTTGGCATTTTCATCTTCCAGTTCTTCCTGATCATCCATCATCTCTGCTTCCACATCCTCTGCTTCATAACGTGATCTTGAGTGCTTGTCCTTCTTTCTCCTCTTTCCACCCTTTCTCCTCCGCTTCTCACTATTTCCACCTTCCTCATCATCAATCTCTGACCTGTCCCTTCTCTTAGAACCAGATGTGCTGCTTTTCCATTGCTCCTGAAAGTACAAAATCATAGACAAATAACGAACTAGAACTTTTTGGAAGCAAGTTTAAATGCTAGCATTAGCAAGTGTTTCCTCAACCTATTGGGGTAGTGTGTGTGTGTGTGCATGTGAATAAATTGTGAACAGAATTCTGGAACTAGAGATTTAAATTCATAGATTTAAGCCGCTGCTTTTCCATTCCTCAACATATTGCTGTCCAAATTATGCTATCATAATCCTAAATGAGGGCCTACCCATAAGCATGTAAAAAAGCGTATAAATACAATTTACAGCATTTACCTTTATACGCTCAAAATGCTCCTCCTGTTGCCTCACCTGCTTCAGCTCATCCTCTCGCACTCTCCTTTCCAACTATTTCCACACAAAAGTATTACTGTATCAGTAAACTTTTTTACAACTTAATTTGACCATACATTTTCACTGCAAGAATAATAGATGTAGAGAGCATGATCAGAAGACCTGAAATTTCCTCTGCTCTTCAGCCTTACGACGAGCTTCCTCAGCCAATGCCATCTGACGAAGAGCTTCTTGTTTATGCCGGTTTTTCTGCTCTTCATGTTCAGCATTTTTTAGGTGAACTCTTGCTGCTTCAAGTAAGTGTTTACAGTACTCAACATGGGTATCAATTTTCTTCTCATCGAACCCATAAAAGTGAAGGTTTGAAGCAGCAGAGGCAGACAACTGTTTAAACACACGAACAGCATTTCCTAACTCTGAAACTGTTAAGCGCACCTATAAATGCATACATGGAAAAGGAGAAAAAAGAAAAATGAGATGTAATAAAGATCCACTCTAACAAAAATGAAAAGGCAAGTCAAGTCAAATGATTATAATGCAGTTAATAGAGTTACAACTCCAACAATCTAAAACAAGGCAATCTAGCTGTATAATTCTTCTTTCACCAATGCATCACCTTAACCATAGGAGGAACTTCACTTCAAAAAAAAACAAAACAAAACAAAAAAAAGAAAAAGAAAGAAAAACCAATAGGATGAACTCCAATTACATTAACAATAAATATTTACGAGGACATCACATTCTCATTTAGTGTATCCATAGGGCACTTGTCACTTGTCATATACCATATACTAAACATACATACATACATACATACATACATATATGTATATATATATATCCCATGTGAAGCAAATGACAGCGTTTAAGAACCTTTTTCTCCCTCCCCAGAATATTTCATGACATCAAGTCAATGTGCCTCTGTGTGAAACAAATAAAGAAAGCAAAAAAAAAAAACATTTATTGGACTACAAGATTTTATTGGAACAGAAGAAAAAAAGAACGAAACCTCATCTGCAGTCCTCTTTTCCTTTTGTAGGGTTAAAGCTGAGAACTTCTGCATCACAACACCTGCATCAAACCTCAGTGCGTAATTTGAAGGTGCCAAATGGATGGCTCTCAGCAAAGTCTTTTTGCAGTCTTGCCATTGTTCAGCCTCGTAATTTGTGCGAGCTAAATAGAGAAGAATTTGAGAGTCTGTGTTGTAGAAAAACTTCCTTAGGCAATTCTGATACTGCAAGATGACAAGTGGCGTCAACACATGCAAGTCACTAAAAGAACGAAAAACATAAAGATGCATAAAATAGGATACTGCAAACTGACCATTTTCACAGCCAACGCAAAATTGCCCTGGGCAAAATAAACATGCGCCAAATTTATCCAGACATCTGGCATCTGGACAAAAATGCTTCCGCTTGCAGCTTCTTGAACCTAAAATAATTAAGATGTTAACAATACAGAAACAGATTTAAAACTTCAGAATACAAATTTTAACCACAATTAAACATGGCCCTTTGAAACGTGAAAAATTTATACTAACCTGAGTAAAAATATCTTTTGAAACATCAAAGTGACCCTTTTCAGCAAATACCACTCCAGCGCCATTTGCAGCATACAAATTGGCAGAATGTTGAGCTAGAACCTACAAGTATGCAACATTTGAATATACTGTGTATGTAAAACAAAAAATGGGATGCATAAAAACAATTTGTTCCTGAATTATTTATTATAGGATGTACTTTGTTTTCGTGGAAGAAAAATAACTTGGCATGCAAGGGAAGAAAAGAGAAGTATAAGCAGATACCTTTGTGTAAAGTTCCTTAGCTTTTTCTAAATGTGTAGCTTCCAACTTAGGATTTCTTTTTTCATTACGGACAGCCGCAAAGTAGTTCCAGTTCCCCTAAAATATTTCAAAGTTGCGTGTGAGATGAAGACAAAAATTAAGAGTAACAAGTTACAATAATAAGTTTTCCATGGAATTTCAATATAACACTGTAGTGAAAATATACAGACCAGAGACAGCGTATCATAGGAATCCTTCCCTTCTGTTGCTTCACTAGCAGCACGTAAGGTTTCTTTTGCCTTAACCCAATCATCATTCTTCAATTCCAAGTCTCCAAGCATAGATAATGCCTTTGGGCACTTCTGATTCACCTTCATAGCATCATTGACCTATAGAAAGTTCTTTTAAGTATGTTTGTTTGAGCGAGGAAGAGAATCAAAAGGGGAAGTGTTATAGGGATAACAACCAGCTCAATGCTTAGTTGAAGATTGTTTCGAGCTTTTGCAATAGCAGCAAGCCTCAGATAAGCATCTATATAGTCTGGATACTGCAACGTTGGAGCAGAAGGGTTAAACAAACACCAATCCCACGAAGGGAGGTAATAAAAAATACATGCATGAATTTAGCGAGCATGCACCCAAAGGTCAAAAGAGAAAAACACTGGTAAAACAACTAATATGTTACTGACACACTGCTATAAAGTAACCCCTTCTGGTCTAACTGCAGTCTCATTTAAGTACTGCGTAAAACAAACTCTTATCATGCACAAAAACACAAATATATCTTACCTTAAACAAGATCAGACGGTACAATATGCTCGCAGTTTCAGTGTTATGCAACTGCTCGAGTAATCTTGCCATGTTAAATAGTGTTGTAACTTTGTTCCAAGGTAAATCGACAACACGACCCTCTTTCTCAAGATGCTGAAATAAATGCAGGTCTTTGTACTGAAGATTTGATGCACTAGCATCAACAGGTGGAGGGTTTTCTTTACCATCAATGAAGGCAAGCCATATTCCATCACCTAGTGCCTCCCTGAAAGTTTGTTGAGCAAGCTGACAGTAGAGAAAAATAAATTAACGCTAATTAACAGGGCTTAGCATAGCAATCAAACAAACTTCCAAGAGAAAAAGATATTCGAAACCACACAAAAGTAACAACAACAGCATAAAGACTTCCGAAGTATTCTTGGGAAACTGCTCCAACCTCAAATTCTCCCCTTTCAAAATGGAGAACTCCAAGATTGTTGAGAACTTCGATTGGTGTTTCTTGACCTCCCTTTTTTAAAAGGGTACGAGCCTGCAACAATTTGACAATCTTGAGTGAGTAAAAGACAGGAAACTAACAGACTTAAAATCATATATATAAAGGGCTTTGATCACCGTAGAGACAACTTATTTGTTCAGAAGTAAGAAATGAGCTCCTTACAGTTTTTAGGGACTCCAGAGCAGCTACAGGGTCAGATGATATTAGTAGTTCCCCTAGGTCAAGAAATGCCTGCATCATAGTAGGACAGACAAGTTGCCAAAAATTTAGTCAGTTTTTAGGGTGGAATTTGCTGTTTGTTCTCCAATATATATAACCAAGGGATTGTGCGACAAAATTTTGAAGATCGCACAACAAAAATTTTCTATGGCCTCCATTATACCTCAAATCACAAGCATTAATCAACCGTTCTTTCTACCTGTGAGAAATGGAACAAAGCATTGTTTTTGGCAGGGATGAGAGAGATGGGACAAGCCCATTGGCCCCATTCCCAATCTTAAAGTTGATGCAGACCCAGCTTAACTCTAGTGAACTTATGTTTATTAATGATTTAGACGTGTGAATGCATGAAAATGAAAAAGAACAAGGAAATGAAGAACAGGGACCACATGGACTCAGAGGAAACTAACCAACAAAAGAAACACATTCTTCATAACTCGAACAAATTTTATGGAGCAAAAGTTACCTACTATAGGTTTAGGAACTTCCACAATCATCAAAATAAGTGTGGGGCACAAGGACACTTACACATCATATAAACAGGTTCTCAACAAACCAGATGTAGCATATATCTGAATAACACACCTTGTTGAAGTAATAAAAAAAAATATACATCTGATTGTTTACCTGGGCATCACGTGGATCAATTTTTGTAGCCTTCCTCATAAATTCCTGGGCCTTCTCTGTCTGCCCCAGCTGCACATAAATGTGCCCAAGAACCTATTGCGGAAAAAACAAAGGGAATACCTCATTACGTTGAAATCGTTAGAGCAAACAAGAAATATAATCAGATTAAATTGGAATCATGCCTAATTTTCCAAAATGCCTTTTTTCAACTCACTTTCAATGTCTCACTATTATCAGGATTGACCTCTAAAACCTTTTCGAAGTTTGCTAGTGCACTTTTAAAATCTCCCAACTTCAATTGTACCTGTCCCAACCCTGTCACCGATATCCAGTAAGTACAAAGAAGTAAAAAAGAGAATGGGAGTCAATGGATCGAAAGAGCAAATGTTCTGCACCATGCATATTTTGGTTTAGAACAGATATTGAAAACTGTCGAGTCAAATCTATTGTGCACGCTGCCAGTGGTTCTAAATGTCAAACCCTCTTGTATGTGTGTGCACGTGTGTGTATTTTAAGAAACACAATGACGCGTGCTTCAAGATTCAACGATTCTACTGCTTATGCATTTCTCAATAGCAGATGAAATTAACTAATATAAACAAAATGATTTCATGGTCAACAAGAATGCCAATAGAACAAAGACACTTTAGCATCAAACAAAATAGACAAATTCCTCTACATTAGAAATATTAAATCTTTCATCTTAAAAGCAGGGTTAAAACTATGCCAAAATATCCCAGTAATACACAGAACGTTGTAAAATAGACAGATTGATGTTACCAACCATAGTAAGGAAATACAAATTCGTTAGGCTTATTAACTTCCTTGACAGATGCCATGTAATACAACCCAGCCTTTTCATAGTCCCCCTGAAATCCAGCAAAAGAATGTCACTACCACTACTAACCAAAAGGGCCACAAGCCAAAGGATTAAGGAAAAAGAAACGCACGACTTGGAGTCTTGTACAACTGGAGCTATAAATAACTGTTCCGGAAGGCATAAAAATAGAAAACAGATCATTCCAGTAGCAGCCTTTTAAATTCATTCTTACAAACAAATATTAAAAAAAAAAGGAATTTAAATCAAACGACTTGCTCTCGTAAATCATATTTAAGGCAGGAAGACTAGCTAATCACTTCTTTACACTAGTCTGAGGGTGTCTGGCTGTAACAAAATGAAGGACCCTTGCGCATTGACTTCACTCGAGTCCATAACATGAGGTAGAATGGTACGTAGAATGGAATGGAGAGAGAAAGAGAGAGATTTCTCTAAAGAACATAGTAAAAATCTTCGTCCAATTGAAATCTTTTACCTACAACTATCCATCCGTGCATACACATGCACACATGTATACAGATAGCAATGCAATAAAATAATAGAAGAAGAAAGATACTGCTCATCCAACCTTGCTATGGTAAGATCGTGCTAAATTGTAGTAAGAATGTGACTTTGTCGGTCCATGGTTGCTAACAGCAAGTGCAGTTTCAGTCAGTTGTTCAACCACAAAGTGTTGACCCGTGAAGAAAAAGTGATTTGCTAAATAATTTAGAGCCATTGCACAGTAAGGATATATCTCAAAAGCTTTCTGCATTTTTTCCATCCCTTTTCTAATTCCAGTAGCTGAAGATATATAAGACAACGTTAGAATTAGACAGCTGAAGCATCAGAAATTTATTTCCACAAACACGCCATTCAGCATAAGGGCAATTATAATATATAGATGCTCACTAATTCACCTTCATGTGTATTTAAATCCATAATTGCTTGTGCAACAAGAGCCTCAACATTTTCAGGATCTAACTGCAAGAATATAAAATTAAAAATAGACAGTGGCATCGTCAAAAAAATATGCATCCTTAGGATAAAAATTCATCAAACATAGATAATATCATTACCTGTAAAACCCTTTGAAATGCCTGTCGAGCTTTTTCAAATTGACCCAACTTATAACGACATAGACCTATGCCAAGTCTTACAGCAGCAGGACAATTGGGATATACTTTCAGGACCCTCTTTACAAAATTTAAATAATACAAAGTCAGAAGTAACATCGATTTTCTCCACAAATATCCAGAAACACAGATTTCTCATAGAGGGCTGGTCACATGCCCTGGTCCTTATAAATATATTAAAAAAAATGCCAAATATCAGATATTGAGAAAATGGTAGAATAATAAAGACAAACCTTATACAACTCCAATGAATCCGAATAGCGTACACGGTTGAATTCAACACATGCCTGCAGAGACCCGGACAAGATACAATGAGGGGGAAGGAAAAGAAACAGAAAAAGGTATATCTTCCCTAATCAAACCAGCTTCAAATGATCCCCTTTTTTCCATCTTCAGGTTATTCAATCTCTAATATCTTAATGTTAAATATCCAAAAGCCGAAGCCTCGATTTAAGATGACTCAACAAATTTATGAACAAGGTGGCACCCATATTTCTTTTAAGTCAACTCATGATTTTCTCAGAGCTAGCATCACACACTTGGAAAGTTCTCATTCCTTGAATTATCATGTATTTAAAATAAGAAGAAAAATAAGGCTTTGTTTTAAACTATAAATTAAAATGACAATTGAGAAAATGAGAACAAAACTCTAATAGTACGTTTGGTCCATGGGTTTGAACCACAATTCAAACCTTTTTATTATAGTGTTTTTTCTCACAAAAATTTTAATTTAAGTTCAAACCTCTGAACCAAATGGGCCATAAGCTTATGAGCTTTCATTACTTTGGTGACCACAAAGCAGTAAAATTGAAGAAACTACGGCTACATAGCAGGCCACTGCTCGATGCAATGCAACTAGATTGAGGTTCTTTAAGGGGAGATGTGGATATTGTCCTAGCCGACATTAAAGGGAAAATGAACTACTTCTTTCTCAAAAATAAAAATTAAGAAAAAAAAACTAAAAAAAAGAATAATCATGAAAAGGACAAGGTGTCCTTGGATATTTGAAATAAAATTTTGTACTTGTGCTTTAATAGTTTCACCTCTTATTTATTTTATACTGTGTGGTTATGCCATATTATTGAAAAAAAAAAAGGGGAATAATTTTGGATAAATTAAAATTACCAAAAAGGGCTTTATCAAGAAGAACAAATCGACATACCTGACCCAAGAGGGCTGGAACATTATCACGATCTCCATCTAAAACAATCTTAAATGCAGCAGATGCCTGCTCTACTTCCCCCTTAGCTAGTAAAAGCTGACCTGTTAAAAGAAAACGGGTTCAAGAGATCTAATTCAGAGCATCATTAGGCATGACTCAGCCGTCAACTGACAAATAACTTTAAAATGTTTAACAATGATACAAACCTACAGGTTTGTTATAGTCAAAGCCACAAAGTTCAAGATTCAATATCAGAATTCACAGCAACTTAAGATGTCAGACAGATGAGATATCCCCACAAAAGGTCGTTTACCATTCACGCTAGAATGAAAACAAAATTGAAACTAAGGCACTCATATGTGTCACTACCAAGGGCCAAAATTTCCCTATAGGAACTTCTATTAAGCAACTCCTAACAGGTTATCTCAGAAAAAAAAAAATCATTCTCCCGATTCAGAAGGGTTAGAATATGGTTGTAAATATATACTTAAGTGTATCTTTTGCACTCCAATCTTAGTTTCGATATACAACACAAATAAGCTTTAACCCACCTTTTCCAACCCAAGTAGAAGGCTCATGCATGTCGATTCTCGACGCTTTGTTGTAGTATTGCGTGGCCAAGATGAAATGCTCCTCCTTTTCTCTTTGTTTAGTCTCAATCTTTCCAAGGTAGCTATAGTACGCTCCTAAAGCATTCAATATTGCAATTCTCTCGTATCTAACATCAGCGTAGTACTCATCAATTTCTGCAAAAATTAAGCCAATTCAACCAATTAAGCACCGCACGAACAAGTCCTCGTTTTTTCTCCACAAATTCAATACACAAAAAAAAAAAAAAAAAAAAAAAAAAAAAAAAAAAAAAAAAAACTAGTTACAAAGGCGAAAAAACTGAATACCAGGACTTGACCCTTCCTCCAAAATCTGCCGGAATTGTTCGAGTTTTCCTTGTTTGAAGTACTCTCTCTGCAACACAAAACAGCGAAAAAATTGGAAAAATTCGGAATTTCAACCGAGAAAAAGAATACAAAAGATAGAAAAAAGCATTGAAATTTCGAAAAAAAAAAAAAGAAGAACGAACCGCGATGATGAGCCAGAGATCGAGAGGGGCTTGCTCGGCCTTGAGGATGTCGAGGATGTCGGAAGCGTCTTTGGGGAGCTGATCGAGAGCGACTCTCACTTCCTCCTCCGAGTTCTGCACCGGAATGTACACGGACGCCATTGTTCTCCGGCAGCCGAAACCCTAGCTCCGTCGAGATTTCGCGATTCTTTGTGAGAATTCTGAAATTGGAGAGAATTGTGAAGGCCAGTGTGTGGGGGTGTGTTTTGGATCCTCGACTTCCTTTGTCACACTGGTCTGTGGTTGTAGTTGGAGACTGACTTGGACTTCTTCTTAATTTTTACGTTTTTCGTAGGTTTTCTGATAATTTTTGCGAACTCTTGGCGGGTTTCTGGTTATTCTTAAACGGCCACGGAAGTTTTTGATATTGCGAATTTTTCCTGCTGAGTGCTAACTTTGGCCCCCAATATTCTTTTCTTTTAGAGTTTGACTCCTAAATTAAGGGAGAAATACAAAAATGTTACTCCAAAGACTTTACCTTTACATTTATGTCATCCAATGACATAAACTTAACATCTATGTCACTTAATTTGTCAGAAATAAATATCCTTGTAAAATTAAAGTATTGTGCAAGATGAAATCTAAGAAAACCTAAACTATTGACGTTAAGTAACAATTTGCGATATAAAAATGTATTATATTATCCGCAGCTTATAGTAAGTAAAAAAAAAAAAAAAAAAAAGTATGTATTATGACTCAATTAAGTCATGTAGGCAATATACCTTCGAATCTTATAAGATTTCGGACTTACAGTCCATTACTTTACGATATTGACTTTTACTTTCTAATAATAATAATTAATCACAGGAATTTCCATTCCATTTTAATTTAGGCTGTTAGCTTTGACTTTCTGATAATAAGCTTTAAAAAATAAAATAAGACAAATTATAATAAAACGCACACACAGAAAAGAAAGCTAAAGGAAAAAAAAAAAAAAAAAAAAAGGAAAAAAAAAAAAAAAAAAAAAGGAAAGATAAAGCTTGGGTTGAATATTCAATATATAAAAATCTACGTAAGAATACTCCTCGTCTAACTCGACTTTTATAGTGTCTCTATATATAGTGTTTATATAAGTGCACTCACAACCAAAAACTTCTCTGCATAACTTATTTTTCTCTTTGTTTCGAGAGCAAAAGAGAAAATTAGATCATAATCTTTTGTCAGCAAACATGAAGAGGCTTTCAATCTTCGTCCTCTTCTTGTTCACATTCAGTGCTTTCACAGTCGGACAGCCTTCCGCCAAGCAGTCGTCCAGGAAAATACTCATTTTCGATTTTCCAAAATTCCCAAAGCCCATTGATCAACTGCCGACGCCGCTGCGGGATCCAAATTTTTGGGATTGCCCCGCTGCGCATTACACAATTCCATGATTGCCCCAGTTTGCTGGTTATACGTGAATTGTTAGAGAGATTGTAATATATCTCTTAATTAAATCACACATTTGTTAGATTGTTTAAAATATATTTAAAGCTGTTTTGAACAGCAAAATTGCTGTAGCGCATTCCACAATGCACTGAATGAGACAACACCGTTTGCACCAAACGGTACTGTCTATGCAGCAATGGGCGCTGCAGTCTGCCAGAAATTTTCCACGCGCTACAATGCATAGGAAGCTCGCTGCAGCGGGTATGTGCAGCCCTTTAAGGCTTGTTGGCATTGGTTTGTGCGCTGCAGCGGGAAAAACATCCATTGCAATGCCCATACTGCAGAAACTGCATACGAAAATGTATTTTGTGATCTGAAACGTTTTGAACCATTGCAACCATTGGTGATATGTTTTCACACATATCTGAACATCTATTAGTAATATATATAATTGTTGTAATAGATATATTAATCTGTGAAGATATACATTTACATTGAAAATGTACTATTATATGAATGGTTGTAATGTTTGAAATATGTGTTTTCATTCTCTGTCTTTTAATAATCTCCAAAAAATTTACAGACTTTATTCATATTCTGAAACATAATATTATTGATAAATATTGTGTTTAAAGGTTTGTTGTATCTTAAGGATAATTTGCAATAGAAACTCATTAACAAATTTTGAGAAATGAGTGCAAATAAAACTTTAAAACAAAGTATTCGTATACCCTCAAACCATGTTGCTTTCTACATTCTTTTCATCATCTACACTCAAATTCTCCAACACTAGCACACTCCAATCAACTCCACTTGTTGTGCCCTCTTCCTCAACGCATCCGCCGAGTGCACCGATGCCGAATGGCCTGATCGTTTTTATCCTGAAGCCTTAGCATATTGTCAACATCCTGAGCAGAACTAGTCTCTGCCACTGCCATCGTCATCTCCACCTCCTCCACCTTATTCGACGCTGCCACAGGCTCCGAGTGCCCTACCGAATTGCCAAAACACATATTTGTATTGCACACCAGGAAATTGATCGCAGTCCAATCAACTCCCCTTGTTGTAACTTCCTGATTCACAACGCCATAGAGGAGTGCGCCGGTTCCCGTGTGCATGATCTTTGGTCTCAATCCATAACTTACTGCCAGCCTCCCGAGCAAAATTCGTCACCGCATCAATCGTCGTCCGCCATCTCTGCCAACTCCAGAGGAATCAGCACAAAAGTGTTTGTCTTTCATTAACACCATGCAGTGTTGTATTAACGAAATCATGTCCGGATTCTTCAACAAGAGATTAGGAATGGGGCCGCTTGCTGCTTCGCCATGTCGAGCTGAGGAGAGGATTGCTTCAGCGAATTGTCTCAACAGTTTCTGAATCTTTTCTACCCTTCCTAGCTCAGACAACAATGCTCTCTCCCCTTTTTTTTTTTTTTGAAAGTCTCTCCCTTAATTAATAGTTTCTTATTGTTTGACATGATTAACATAGGCCCATTTGACATCGTTTTTAAAGGCTACTTTTAGCTTTTTTTAAGAAGCTACAGCAAGTTAAGATGTTTGATAAATCTTGTTTTTATCAAGTAATTTTTAAAAACTATTGTCCCACAGCAAAATTTAAGAAGCAGATTAGGGGTTGCTTTTTCACAACAGCTTATGCCGTTAATGTCCAAATTTACTAAAATGATCCTAATAATAAAACTTAATTCCTAATCAGTTCATTTTATTTCTTCCAAATCAAATTAAAGAGTATATTTTATTTTAAATATTTATTTAAAAATTTAAAATCTTTAATAAATATATTATGCTAAATTCTAATAATTATTTTTATTATAATGTTGCAAGTTTGAAAAATAATTTACCTTTAATTTTTTACGTTATTCAATTTCTTTAAAGATATATAATTTATCTTATTGAATATAACCAATTTATTTTTTAGAGATATTTTAATTAATAAAATAAAAATTAATTTTTTAGTATTATAATGTATAAATATTGACTATAAAAATAGAGATAAAACTAATTATAAATATGTGTATTAAAGTATATCTATTTTAATCATTATACATCTTCATAGCAATTTTGTACATAGGAATAGTTTGGGAATTAATGAAATTTTTATTAAATGAAACCGGATTCCCGCACAATCTAGAATCAGAAGCAGCCTTTGGGCTGCTTCTGATTTTAAGCCCAAATTTCACACAAATTATTGAAGAAGTACTTTTTGAGTCTTTTACCAAACACAAAAAATAACTTTAGCTAGATAGAGAATTCATTTTGGGCTCCCAAAATCTCTTCCAAACTAAGCCATAGTTTATCAAACACCTAAATTTTTACTTTTGGTATTCACAACAACTTTGAAAAAAAAATTTACCAAACACTTAGGAGATGTTTGGTTCATAGATTAGAATCATGAGTAGTGCTGGAATTTCGGGTCGGCGGGCCGCCCGAAGCCCGAATTTTTTTGGGCTCGGGCGGGCCGGCCCAATTCCCGCCCGTCCAAGCAAGAAATTCGGGTTCGGGCTCGGGCAGCCCGGATTTGACATGTCCACTCTTGCCCGCCGCCGTCTAACCACCGTATACCGCCGTCTGCCGGGATTTTTTTGCATTTTTCTGACCAAGCCCGAACTGCCCGACCCGAAAATTGGGTGTGCCCGAATTGCCCGACCCGAAGCCCGAATTTTTGAATTTTGCCCGAATTTTTCCGCCTGTCCGACTTGCCCGACCCGCCCGAGGTGCCCGAATTACCCGAATACCCGAAAACGGCTAGTTTTTTGAATTTTTACCCGAATTCGGCCTGAAAACCCGAGTTGCCCGACTTGCCCGAAAACGGCTAGTTTTTTGAATTTTGCCCGAAATTTGCCTGAAAACCCGAGCTGCCCGAGTTTGCCCGACTGCCCGAACCCGAATTTCAAAAAACTAGC